CAGCAAGTAACAGAAGAAAACAGTTATTGAACCTGTTCCATATCCTCTTCACTTGGTGGTGGAGCCTGCTTTTGAGCTATTAAGGCGGCATCGGAACGCCAGGTGGCCATATGCCAGCTTGCCGCCAGCATCTGTGGTGTCATACCAGGCGGAATCGCTGAAAAAGCATCATTTCAGATAGATATGGTAAGCTACGGAAAATCAAATAACACATACAAGGAGGTAAATGTGGAAATGGAGGTCGTTGAGTGCATTGCAGTACGCTTGAGGAGCATTTCGTGATGGAGAGTCCACTGGAAGTTGATGAGGGCGTTGAATTAGAAGTTGGAGTGGGAGCATTAGAGATCAAAGGTCCGCGATGACTCGGCAATGGTGGTCGTCCTAGAAATAAGGTTACGGTAATTGTCTTACGCAAGGTAGGGAGATACAAGAACAAATTAATATTGCTGACAGGGGAAGCATCCCAGGTCGAACTAAACATCTAAAAATTCTTGATATTGTGCTGTCTCGGAGCCCCATCAGGTCGAAAATGTTGTATAACACAAAAAAGCACCAATTTTTTCATTTCAAAAGAACTCCAAAAGATAACAAAAACTCCAAATTCTAAAAATTCCAAGGAAAAATCCCTTTGAATTCTTCTGCAGTATTTTGGTGCATAACACCTTCGTTAGGCATATATTTGTCTAGTCCAGGTATTGAGCTGCCCTTACAGCGCCACGCCGTTGGAGTGCAATTGAATATTGAATCCAAGCTTTTTTGGAGTTTTTGTTACTTTTGGGAATTTTTTTTGACATAAAAGATTTTTGGCGGCTCTTTACATTATATGTACAACATCTAAAGTGTTTAACATATCACTGACATGTTTTCGGACACTCATCCGTATCTTCTATGCATGAAGGCATAAAGATTTTTCATCGCTATCGCAAGGTACGGGTACTACTGGGGGCCATACTCTGGGACTAGGCCTAGGAAGGGGCAGAAACTTTGGGGAAAATGAAAAGTGATCGCGCACGGTGAAGCCTCCACCATCTCACCGAAGGTTTAAGCCCGTTCTTTTAAAGAAAGATGTTTTGCACGATTTTGACAGTCACTACAGTTCCCAAATCTTGCGACAGCACCACTTTTTCCCTACACATTCTAGCATTCTAGCGCAGTCAGTAGTGGCAGTGGATGAAAGGTACCAAGCCGGTCAAGTTGATGTATTGGGAAGGCAAGGCGATCGAGCTCGCGCGTTTGCAGAATCTACGTTGTAGAATCGGTTACCCTTTCACGTTTTTTCTTTGTTTTTTTTTGTGAATTGTCACAAATAATTTCTCCTGAGTGATCCTTCCACCGGTACCCAGTCATCAATCTACAGTATTTTTGAAGAGTTTGAAAGCATTTTTTTATTTTCTGAGTTTGAAGTTCGGCCCAATATACCCATCGTTGATCACTTCTGAAGGGTTCATATCTCCTCTTGGCCCTATCTCCTCTTGATTTTAGCGTTCGTACATTAGTGGTGATCATGTACAGTCGATATCCGAAAGTTGGGGTAGGCGTGTCACCGGAAGTGACGTGCACTTGATAGAAGTTGCGTGGATAAGCTGTTTCCAATATACATCGCTGGATTCTGGCAAAGCATGC